CACATTTATTGATCCCTTGTTTTATGAATTTTGCTTTCTAATGTCCTTTTTAGGAATGCTTCCCCTAGGTTATAAATATCTTTTTGTATATTTTCTCCTATTTCTGGATCAGAGCACTGCCTGAATCTACACGTCTTCCACTGGGGCTGGTAGATGAGGCAGGATGCTGAGCTGCCATCCAGGAAGCAACAGTGTGTGCTTTCAATGGGATCCAGCTGCAGGGCAGGACTTAAGAATGGGCTTCTTAGGCTGCCTAAGGGGACTGGCTTATGTGACAGCAAGAAGCTTTTCTGGGGGACATCATAAAGCAAAGAGAAACTTTCCAACTATCCAGAAAAGGTATGCAGTGGCTTTCTCTGGAGATGACCATAACCCAAGACAGATACGCACAGACACTTAGGGTAACTCCACCTGGAGAGGCTCAAACAAGATTGAGGGTCTTCCCATAGACAGCATTGTCTAATGGAGATACAATGTGAGCTACATAAGTATTTTTAAATTTCTGGTAGCTACATTAAAGAATCAGTAAAAAGAAACAAGGAAACTAATTTTAAGGATTTAATCTAATATTTCCAAAACAGTGTCATTTTAACATGGAGTCAATATAGCATATTATTGGCGGCACCTGGGTGGCTCAGTTGTTGAGCGTCTGCCTTTGGCTCAGGTCATGATCCCAGGACCCTGGAATTGAGCGCCACATCAAGTTCCCCGCTCGGCAGGAAGCCTGCTTCTCCCTCTCCCACTCCCCTTGCTTGTGTTCCCTCTCTTGCTGTCTCTCTCTCTCTGTCAAATAAATAAATAAAATATTTTTTAAAAAGTAAAAAATATAGCATATTATTAATGAGGTATTAAAAATCTTTTTGTACCGAGTCTTTGACACCTAGTGTGTATTTTACACTCACAGCACATCTCAATTCAGATAACCACATTTCCAGGGCTCGACAGCCACCTATGTCCAGTGACTACCGTGCTGGAAAGTGCAACCCTGAGGATTAAGAGCAGAATGTCCAAGATGTGTTGGGAGGCATCTTCTCTGTGAGTATGAAGGTGTTTAGGTGACCACAGTCTGAATGTTCGGTCCACTCTTCACCCTCCCCTGCGGCCCAGTCTTCTTCCTGGCAAAAGTGTATCATAAATTCAATTATTCCCACCTACTGATGTGGATTAATCATCCCAAAGCACAGTTTTGCTTGGATTATTTCCTGGAGAGGATGCTGTTGACTTTTAGGAGGAGGTGATCATTCAGCTGAAACTTGGGGGGTAGGTGGGAATTAGCCAGGGGGTCAGAGAGGACAGTATGAACAAGGGGGTCGCTGGAATGGACGGGCTGGGGGAAGAGCAGACATCAGACCCCAAGTCTCTGCTGAAGTTAATGGCGGTCATCCAACATTTGTCAGTAGGGGGTACGGGAGAAAGGCAAGACCAGAGACAAGGAAACTAGTGAAGAAAGTGCAGATCCGGATAGGAATTAGGGAGGGTCTGATCTAAGGCAATTATTCATTCATTCATCCATTCCACAAACATTTGCCAAGTGCCTGCTGTGTGCAGAAAACAAAGCGAGAAAATCCGTGACCTCATAGAACTTCAAAATCTTGTAGGAAAGGAGGTAAATGGTGAGTGATGGAGAGTGTTCCTCAGCTTCAGATCTCACATGGTGAATGTGGGGCCATTAATTCTCTGAGACAGAGAATCAGGAGGCAGAGCAGGCTCGGAAAGAAAGTTTCAGGTTTGGCTTATCTTTTTTGACAGATGTTTGGGGTGTTTGGGGGACACCTAAGTGGAGCTGTGTGGCAAGCAGCCGCACAGACATATTTGGAGATCAGGAGATCTGGAAGGTGTTGACTTGCTAGAATGCAGGATTCATTCATTTGTTCATCCATGTATTTATTTGATAGCTACTAAGGAAACCTAGAATGTGCCATGCACTGTACTAAATGCAGAGGATTCCTAAGTGAGCAAAACAGATATGATCCCTACCTTTGTAGAGCTTCAAATCCAGTAGTGATCGTGGCTGATAAAAAAGCTCAAACCATCATGTCGGGGGGGGGGGTAGGAGGTAGGGATCTAAACATATGAGGGAGGAATTGGGGGAGTGGGCTGGGCCAGACTATCAGAGACCCTCAATACCACACTAGGGAGACGGAAATCCGCCTTGATCTGTTACCAAGCCCTGCCTCCCCAACAGTGCTCACTTTTGTCCGCTCCTCTCACTGCCCCTTCACTCAGAGCAGGCCACCGCCTCCTCCTTGAAGGGAGGCGACAGGTTCTCTAAAGGGTCTCCTTGCCTCTCATCTCCCCCCGCCCCCCCACCACCTCCAATGCAAACAGAGTGATTTTTCAAAATGAAAAGATGATGTTACATTCTGTGGTAGGCAGAAGGCTAAGATGGCCCCATGATCTCCATCCTTCTGGTGTTACTCTGGTGATTACGTTACGCTGTGCAGCACAAGGAATTCTGCAGACACAGTTAAGGCTACTACTAATCAGTCCACATTAAAACAGGGAAATTATCCAGGTGAATCCACCTAATGAAGTGAGCCCTTTAAAGGCAGGGAGTTTCTCCAGTGAGGAAAGGGCAAGTCACAGATACTCAAAGCCAGGGAGGTTTCGAAGGATTCGACCTGCTGTTGCTGGCTTGAAGATGAAGGGGGTCATGCAGAAAGGACCTACGAAAGGTTTCCAGGAGTGGAGAGCGAGCTCCAGCAGCCAGCCAGCAAGGAAACAGGGACCTCCCTCCTCCAACTGCAAGGAACTGGATTCTACCAACAACCTGAGCGAGCTTGCGAATGTGTTCCCTCCCAGAGCCTCCACATGAGAATGCAAGCCAGGCAACAGCCTGCCTATAGCCTTGGGAGACCCTGAGCTGAGAAGCCAGCCGTGCCATACTGGACTTCTGATTTCCAGAACTACGAACTCATAGGCGTGTGTTATTTCAAGCCACTAAATTTATGGTGATTTGTTCCACAGCACTAGAAAACTAATACATCCCGTGGTTTCTCACCCTCCAACAAAACTTCCTTCGTGGACTTGCCAGGTCTCAGCATCTAATCCTTATTAAGAGTCCTACTAGGTGGGTATTTTATTATCACCATTTCACAGGTGAAGAAACTGAGGCTCAGAAAGGCAAAAAATACTTTTCCTAAGGTTACCAAGCTAGTGACAGGGCAAAGATTTTCACTCAGAGAGTCTGAACTCAGAATCCACACTCTGTGGCTTCTCATGGCCCTTAGAGTAGGTTCAAATCCCCATGCGAGGGATTAGAGACCCTTCCTGATCAGCTCCTGTTCAGTCATCCAAGCTTGTTCTTCCACCCTCCTCTCACCTCGGCTCCCTGTAGCTCGAGTAACTGCCACGCTCTCAGTTTCTTGCCTTTCCACGTCCTGCTCCTTCTGCCTGGCATGCTGCCTGCCTCTTCCCTCTGTTTTTCCTTTGGCTGACCCAAGTGGTGATTTTGGCCTTGCCTAAGATGCCACCTTGCCGGGGGAGTCTTCCTTGGCTTTCTCCGGCTGGGTAGATACTACTCCAGCATTCCCCTAGCACCTCATACTTCCCTTATCAGAGCCCAGGAGACCCTGTGTTGGTCGCCTTTACTCAGCTGGGCTCTTCACTAGATTGTGAACGCCTTGCTGGCCAAGACTGTGGTATGTTCATCACCAAATCCCTAGCACTGTGTCTGGAGCCAGTGGGTACTCAGTATTTCCCGAGTGAATGAGTGAATGAATAAAAGCACTTTATTCAGGAGGTAATGGCAGCCATCCAAGGTCTTGCAGTAAGGGAGTGACCTTATCAGACCTGTGCTTACAAGGACAGGCTGAGGGCAAGTCTGGCAACGAAAAGACGATCCTCACCAACATGTGAGGATGAAAAAAATTCATTTACACCATGGTCTTGGATTTCTGGGGCTGTGAAACTTGTTTCTTTTCTCTTCTTGACCACATCTGGATACTGGACATGTCAGAAACTGTCACGGTCCTCACTAGTGTTCTCCTATGGAGGTGGGAGGCTCTCCTAAAGAGCTCGTGACTGGGGTTTAGGCCCCGAAATCTTGCTAGAATTAGGCGCCTCCGGCCAAGAAGGCTGTGCGAAGCCAAGGCTATGTGGGGAGCCACCGACATTGACCATACGGGGAACCTGGAGCGGTCTCTGAAGATCCCACTCACACCTAGACCTCCCCATCTCTACACTTGCTCGAGGAGCTCACGGCCCCTCTACTTCTCCCAAAATGTGTAAATATTGCTTCCTGATGAGGAGGGCTGGAAGGCCTTCCGCGTTCCAGGCACGCGGCGCTTACTGCTCCCAGCTGGGGGTCGCGCGATGCGGTCGGAGAGTCTGTTAGAGACGCGGCGCATCTTGGTTTCTTCGTCTGCGCAAAAGACACTTCCCAGACGGCGTGGCCTTGAAGGACCGGGGGGCGCCGGGAAAGGTGATAAAGTCCAGGTGCGTACAGCTAGCTCTTCACGCAAGGAGGGAAGCCAGTGGGCCGACGGAGACGCCCCGCCTAGGCACGGGCTCCAGCCCTTGAGCAGAAGGGTCTCCGAGTCCTCCGTCGTACCGATGCGAAACCGTACGGAGCGTCCGCGGAAGGGGCCAAGATTCCCGCCGCGGGCAGCCGCACAGAGGCCTTGGACAGGGCGCTCCGGGAGCGGCGAGGCTGCGAGGGGCGGGTCTGGGCGCTGCGCCTCCCGCGCTCCGGCCGCAGTTCTGGGCGCTGGGGGCGGGCGGGGGAGGAGCCATGTGGGGAGGAGCAAAGCCTGGAGGCCCCGGGAACCTTGGGCAGAGCCAGAGCGGCGAGAGCCGGATCCCGGGCGCACGGCCCCGGGAGAGCGCGCCGTCCGGGCCGAGCGCCGCGGCGGGTTCCGTGCGCAACCGGCCAGAAGGACTAGGGCTAACGGGGCGAGGCTCCCAGGCTCCTAAACCGTCGCAGAGCTGCTGGGCTGCCCGCCGCCCCCGCCGCCCCTCCGGGGCCCAGCCCGACCCGCCACCTGCGTCCCGGTTGCGCCATGGATCCTTCGGAGAAGAAGATCTCGGTGTGGATCTGCCAGGAGGAGAAGCTGGTGTCTGGTCTCTCTCGCCGCACCACCTGCTCGGACGTGGTGCGGGTGCTGTTGGAGGACGGCTGCCGGCGGCGACGGAGGCAGCGGCGGGGCCGGTGGCGGGGGGCGGCCGGCGACTCGCCAGACCGGGAGGAGCTGCGGGAGCTCCTGGACGAGGACGACGGGGACGACGACGAGGCGCTGCCGCAAGGCATGCTGTGCGGGCCCCCGCAGTGCTATTGCATCGTGGAGAAGTGGCGGGGCTTTGAGCGCATCCTGCCGAACAAGACGCGCATCTTGCGCCTCTGGGCCGCCTGGGGCGACGAGCAAGAGAATGTGCGCTTCGTGCTGGTGCGCAGCGAGGCGTCACTACCCAACGCGGGCCCCCGCAGCGCCGAGGCGCGCGTCGTGCTCAGTCGCGAGCGCCCCTGCTCGGCCCGGGCGGTCCCGGCGCGGCCCAGCCTGGCGCTGACCCAGGAGAAGCAGCGGCGAGTGGTGCGCAAGGCCTTCCGCAAGCTGGCCAAGCTCAACCGGCGGCGCCAGCAGCAGCCGTCGTCGCCCTGTTCGTCCGCTTCGTCGTCCACCGCCTCGTCGTGTTCGTCTTCGCCGCGGGCCACGGAGAGCGCAGCCGTGGAGCGCATGGAGACGCTGGTGCATTTGGTGCTCTCACAGGACCACACCATCCGTCAACAGGTGCAGCGGCTCCGGGAGCTGGATCGCGAGATCGATCGCTATGAGGCCAAGGTGCACCTGGACCGCGTGCAGCGACACGGAGTCAACTACGTGCAGGACACTTACTTGGTGGGCGCCGGCATCGAGGTCGACGGGCCCAGCCCGGGAGAGGAGCCGGAGGCGGCTGCGGCTCCCCTGGACGGCGAGGCGCAGGCGACCGCGCTGGAGGAGCTGGCCAGGCGGTGCGACGACCTGCTGCGCCTGCAGGAGCAGCGAGCCCAGCAGGAGGAGTTGCTCGAGCGCCTCTCAGCCGAGATTCAGGAGGAGCTGAACCAGAGGTGGATGCGGAGGCGCCAGGAGGAGCTCGCGGCGCAGGAGGAGCCCCTGGAGCCTGACGGCGGCCTCGACGGCGAGCTGCTGCTGGAGCAGGAGCGGGTCAGGACGCAGCTCAGCACCAGCCTCTACATCGGGCTCCGGCTCAACACGGACCTGGAGGCCGTCAAGTCGGATTTGGATTACAGCCAGCAGCAGTGGGACAGCAAGGAGCGCGAGCTGCAGGGCCTTCTCCAGACTTTGCACACGATGGAGCTGACGGTGGCGCCCGATGGGACTCTCGGCTCTGGCGGACACTCCCGGGAGCCCCGGCCCCAGGGCTGCGCCGAGGTGTGGGTGGATCAGGCCCGCGGACTGGCCAAAAGCTGTCCTGGCAACGACGAGGACTCGGATACCGGGCTGAGCTCTATGCACAGCCAGGACTCGGACTCGGTGCCTGTGTGCGAATCTCTTGTGTAAGAGGAGCAGGGTGGGAGAGGGGGACGACCCTTCTCCCTTCCTCGCAGAAAGCACTGGCATGGCGGGCTCAGGGACTTGAAACCAGGCTGGGGGTGGGCAGGGGAGCCTTGCCTGGCAGCAGCGCTCCCACCGGGCGGGCGGGGGCGGGGGGCTGGGGACACCTGTCCTGCGAGGGCGCTCCTCTGTTTCCCCAGTGAGTATAGAGGGGTGCGGGACAGGGAGGCCAGGTCTCCATTCCAAGCGCTTTCTGGGGAAGGAAGGAGGGAGGTGGTGAGAACCACCTGTACGGGAAAACAAAAGCCCCAGGGAAACTGACGTGGTCCGAACCCATTTTCAAAAAAAAAAAAAGAGAGAGAGAGAGAGAGAAAGTATTATGAAGATTTCAGCAATCTTCTGTACGGGAAGGACTGATGGCAGCTAGAACTTTAGTTTGTGGCATGAAGTGCTTTTAAAAGAAACTCTTGGATGAAAAGGAAATTCCTTGAATGTTAATTGTGACTGTGAACGTGTTAAAACTAGCCAAAGAGGAGTGCTGGTGTTGGTCTCAGCCTTACTTACATCTCCGATAAAACCCGCAGGCACCCAAATCCTGGCTCTTTACCTTTCTGCAGACTGGGGAATTACCCCTCTGCTAAACTGCTCATCTTTTATTTTCCTTCAAAGGCTGAGCTGTATGGAAGTCTAACCCTGCATTTCCTCCTTGCAAATACAGTATGTGTTAAAATAGAATCCTTTCCCTAAAATAACCTTTTATTATTACAAAAGCCAAACATAACGCTTTTGAGATAGAGAAGCATGGCAGACATAATCCCTGGTTACTGTTTAATCGAGACCCTTTGGGATTTGCCCCTGCAAAGGGACCTGTGCTGTCCTTTCTTTTCATTCATGTTGTCGCTTCATCCACTGAATCACTGCTACTCCAAGAAAAATAAAAGGGAAGTTGCAGAATTCAAGTGAAGTGCAACTAAAGTTGCTATTTAATGAGCACTCTGGCTGAAACGGAGACTTGAAAGCAAAGATCTTTGTTAGTGTTCAGCTTTTGAACTAAGCTATATGATTAAAACCAACCATGACCTCAAGGTATTTTTACCCCAACCCAAGTCTAACTTCAGTAGCTTTGGTCAGAGATTAATTAGTTACTTGTCCAAGCCTAAACTGAGAGTGCAAATATCAACGTTTACTAGATAAGGCCCCCAAAAGAAAACGTAAAATAAAACAATCTAATAGTACACCGTGGGTGAGCAATTTGATAAACCAGGGCATGTAGCCACAGATAAATGCATAGAAAAGTAAGCTTAAAGGTGACTTGAATTACTCTGGTCTGGCTCATGCCTTTACACACACCTGGAGATACAAGTGCAACACCTCTCTCTTAATAGCTGGTGATGGAGCCCTGGTGGGGACGCAATGTAATTGTTCCAGTTATTTCAATGAAAAGTTATCAGTTGTAGCTAGTTGTTGCCCCGTGGAAGGAGCCTGTTGGCCCTGTTCCCTCTGGAGCTCAGGACTTCTGAGGAATGTGGGATCTAATCTGTCCTGAGGAGGTATTAACAATGGGGTGTGTGTGTGGTACCAGCCTGCTGCAGAAGCCTGGTATCAGCCTAACCATGGAGGGGCTGGCTTCAGTTTCAACACCACATGTGAAGATAACTTAAAAGGTCTTGCTTTATCAAGGAATTTCTTTCCTTGGAGAGATTCTCTGTCTGCTTCTTGCCAACGGGGACCTGCCCACCTGACCCCCTCAAACCATTTGAGCTGTCTCCTTTTTGGAGACAACCCTCCTCCCTCCCCCATGCTATTACAGCACACGTGGATATTTCAGATTTTCAAGTAAAATGGGAATGAAATGGCCGTTTTCTTAATTGATGTTTTCAAAAGGCATTAGCTGGCATAATTATGGTTTTTTACTTTCGTCGGATGCAGAAAACATCTATGCATTTGGTCTTGATTGATTAAATGATTAAAATGAGGAGGGGACCAAAAGAAAGCCACTGTCCCTAGATGATCATTTGATCTGGTAAACACAAAGCCTAATGATAGCTTCCCTTTTGAGGCAGAGGTAAAATCCTCATTAGAGTGTGACAAACGCTACTTGTCTGAATGGTTTATGCTGGCAATGGGCTGACCTGGTGGTTTTAAAATTATTGTCCTTTTTTTTTTTGTCCCCCAGAGTGGTAGGGGAGGTGGTTCTTAGATGTTTATTAACTCAAAAGAGAACACAGAAGTTGGCAGAACAGGACGGCCTGGCAGAAAGGGGCTGTTTTCCTTTTCACTATTATTATTTTAAACTCTGACAGGCTGCTGACATCAGCAAATATGCCTGAAGCCTGTAAAGCAAATTAAGCCACATCACAGGGAGAAGGCCTGTGGGATTCTCTGGTGCCTTCTTTCCAGAACCTTCCTGTCCTGTCCACCTGAAGATGCTTCTCCAGTCAACTCTTCAGGCAGCGTGGAGGCTCTGTTTATAACAAACGGCAGCCCATTTCTTCTTTCATCCAAATCAATTATGTCCCCAAAAGGCACTCTGTGTGGGTAGGAGAAAGGAGAAGGGGGGGAAGGGGTGCCAAAATAGGAGACAATAGCTCCTTTTACTAAGAGCTTTCGCAAGGCTGAGAGAGGCGGAGTATGGATACAAAAAGGACCAACCCAACACCTGTGCCTAGAAAGTGCCTAATAGATTCTAGATGTTGAAAAAACATGATTTCACTTAAAAAATAATCATCCTGGCACTAAGAATGAGAATGAATATATCGAGGTGAAAGCCTCAGCACTAAGGATGTCAGAGCCCCTGGGAGAAGTGACCTGGTATCTGAGCAGAACGGAAATCCTGGGGAGGAACCAGCAAGCTCGCGGAGGAAACTGATAGAATGTATCATGGCTTTGATCTTAAGCATCTCTTTCTCAGCCATCTCCCAAACCCGGAAGATTTCATCTGGTATCTCTGTGTGTTTGCTTATAAAACGTGATGATGATAATTTGCTAATTAGACAAGTTACATACTATGGTCCTTAAGATGAACCTGAAAATAGCAATAGTAAAAAGAAAGAAAAGTCACTCAAGATCCTTATCACTGCTAAAATTTGACGTGTTTTCCTTCCTGACCTTTTGAATTGTGAAGGTTTCATATTTTGCTTCTTTTTTAAGAAAATAATTTAAATGAACTTGTATAGATGCTTTTATGGTCAGGTTTTGACTTTGTAAAGGCTCCATCCGTCTGTTGGATGTTCCATTGTGCCTGTAACTCTTCTCAAGTAAGTAGGTTGTACCTGATATTATTTTACTATTATAACATAACACTGTGATAGGCTTCTTTGGGCATGTGTACATTTTCCCCAGTAAAATGGAAAGAGACTTCCCAGGTCAAAGAGTACAAACATTTAAGGACTTGATACTTAATTGCCAAATTGCTTTTCGAAAATTTGTTCTAATAACAACCTGCTATGGGTGATGGGGCCTATTTCCCCACACCTTGGCTTTCATTAGATACTACATTTTGTTAAGAAAACATTTTAACCAGAATTAATTAATTAGTACTTTGTGGCTCTTGGAATGCAGGGCTGGCAACCACTGGCTTAAAATATCCTTACAACAGAAATGTGGATCGTCTGACCAGAAGTGTTAAGAGGATGTGGTGCTTTCTCTCCTTCCTGTTTTCCTTGTCTTCCCTGAGCACCTGCTTTGGAATAGCGATCTTGTCTCCTATCAGAGCTTGCCAACAATCTGAGCAGGAGGGGCAGAACTCCACATGAGCAAGAGCAGGAGAATTAACACGTAAGAGAAACAGATTTATAAAAAGTAAATGTTCTTTAACTTTTTTTCATCTTTAGTCCATGAGAAAAGGTTATTCTTAGAAGATGATGTTATAACATGTATTTGATTTTGTGCTTCTCCCTACCCACTCCTATTAAAAATTAAATCAAAATAAAATAAATACATTAGCCCACTATTAACAGCCTCTCAAGAACAGTTTTGATTTTTCCAGGAATTTCTTTCTACCTATGAAATAACACCTGAGCTCATCTTTGAATTCTTGGAAAGGGAAAATTTGGCCATGAAAATTTGTAAAGTTTCCTGTGTGGAAATGTTTGTGAAACGGATTGTCCTAAACAGAAAGAAAGGAGGACAAGGAGAAACTATTTTTTGCTGAGTACTTTCCAAACGCCAAATCCTTGTGCTGAGTATTGTCACATGCATTTCCTCTGCATTCATCTTGTGAGATAGAACTCTCTAACCTCTAATTTCTTTTTAATATTTTATTTATTTATTTGAGAGAGAGAGCATGGGCAGTGGGGAGGGGCAGAAGGAGAGGGAGAAGCAGGCTGCCCGCCGAGCAGGGAGCTCGATATGGGGCTCGATCCCAGGACCCTGGGATCATGACCTGAGCCGAAGGCAGATGCTTAATCTACTGAGCCCCCCTAACCTCCAGTTTTTACAGATAAAGACACTAAGGCCATCTAGCTGGTAAGTAGCAGAAGCAGGACTTTAACCCTAGCCTGACTCTAAAACCTGTGCCCATTTTGCTCCATACACCAGGCACATCGTACCCATGAAGGGGTGCGCGTGTCGGGAAAAGAGATTCCTCACATGTTCTAGAGTGTTGGCACTGGAAGGGCCTCAGAGATGATCAAGTCTAGTCCAAGTATTTCCACCAGGAAGGTGGAGTGACTCTCAAAATCATGGAGCCAGTAAACATCTATAAGATACAGGAGGAGAAATTCCTGTGTAAATATCTGGGTGTCTATCTGTCAGAGATGAAGTCCTTGCCAGTGGAAAAAAAAAAATTTCTCTCCCCAAATTAACGCCCTATGTATCAGCATGGAATTTTTGACTGAATGCCCTAAGGGCACAGGTGGATAGTCAGCAATGGAGACTCCTTGGCCGTCCGCTGTGTGCTATTCACAATCACATCTGGAAGGTGGTACCAACCATGGCTGGGCTGAAACTGCACCCCCCCCAACCCCCGGCATTTTTAACCACACCTCATTTCCGGTTGAGACTGG